GAAGTACTAGGAGCTGAAGAGGGTCCTGGGGATGAAGTACTAGGAGCTGAAGAGGATCCTGGGATGAAGTACTAGGAGCTGAAGAGGGTCCTGGGATGAAGTACTAGGAGCTGAAGGAGGATCCTGGGATGAAGTACTAGGAGCTGAAGAGGATCCTGGGATGAAGTACTAGGAGCTGAAGAGGGTTTCGTGGGATGAAGTACTAGGAGCTGAAGAGGGTCCTGGGGATGAAGTACTAGGAGCTGAAGAGGGTCCTGGGGATGAAGTACTAGGAGCTGAAGAGGGTCCTGGGATGAAGTACTAGGAGCTGAAGAGGGTCCTAGGGATGAAGTACTAGGAGCTGAAGAGGGTTTCGTGGGATGAAGTACTAGGAGCTGAAGAGAGTCCTGGGGATGAAGTACTAGGAGCTGAAGAGGATCCTGGGATGAAGTACTAGGAGCTGAAGAGGGTCCTGGGGATGAAGAACTAGGAGCTGAAAAAGGTCCTAGGGATGAAGTACTAGGAGCTGAAGAGGGTCCTGGGGATGAAGTACTAGGAGCTGAAGAGGACCTGGACAGCTACTCAGGAGCTGTGGAAGATGGGTCCTGGGATGAAGTACCAGGAGCTGAAGGAGTAATCCTGGGATGAAGTACTAGGAGCTGAGGACCCCAAAGACAGCCACCAGGAGCCGAAGAGGCCTGTGGAGAGAAGCACTCAGGGAGCCGGGAAGAGGATCCTGGGATGAAGTACTAGGAGCTGAAGAGGGTCCTGGGGATGAAGAACTAGGAGCTGAAGAAGGTCCTAGGGATGAAGTACTAGGAGCTGAAGAGGGTCCTTGGATGAAGTACTAGGAGCTGAAGAGGGTCCTTGGATGAAGTACTAGGAGCTGAAGAGGGTCCTGGGATGAAGTACTAGGAGCTGAAGAGGGTCCTGGGATGAAGTACTAGGAGCTGAAGAGGGTCCTGGGATAAAGTAGTAGGAGCTGAAGAGGATCCTGGGGATGAAGTACTAGGAGCTGAAGAGGATTCTGGGGATGAAGTACTAGGAGCTGAAGAGGGTCCTGGGATGAAGTACTAGGAGCTGAAGAGGATCCTGGGGATGAAGTACTAGGAGCTGAAGAGGGTCCTGGGATGAAGTACTAGGAGCTGAAGAGGGTCCTGGGATGAAGTACTAGGAGCTGAAGAGGGTCCTGGGATGAAGTAATTAGAGCTGAAGAGGGTCCTGGGGATGAAGTACTAGGAGCCGAAGAGTGATCTCTTGGGGATGAAGCACTAGGGAGCTGAAGAGGGTCCTGGATGGGGCACTAGGAGCTGAAGAGGATCCTGGGGATGAAGTACTAGGAGCTGAAGAGGGTCCTGGGATGAAGTACTAGGAGCTGAAGAGGGTCCTGGGATGAAGTACTAGGAGCTGCAGAGGGTTTCGTGGGATGAAGTACTAGGAGCTGAAGAGGGTCCTGGGGATGAAGAACTAGGAGCTGAAGAAGGTCCTAGGGATGAAGTACTAGGGGCTGAAGAGGGTCCTGGGGATGAAGTACTAGGAGCTGAAGAGGGGATTCGTGGGATGAAGTACTAGGAGCTGAAGAGGGTCCTGGGGATGAAGTACTAGGAGCTGAAGAGGGTCCTGGGGATGAAGTACTAGGAGCTGAAGAGGGTTTCGTGGGATGAAGTACTAGGAGCTGAAGAGGATCCTGGGATGAAGTACTAGGAGCTGAAGAGGATCCTGGGGATGAAGTACTAGGAGCTGAAGAGGATCCTTGGATGAAGTACTAGGAGCTGAAGAGGATCCTGGGATGAAGTACAAGGAGCTGAAGAGGGTTTCGTGGGATGAAATACTAGGAGCTGAAGAGGGTTTTGTGGTATGAAGTACTAGGAGCTAAAGAAGGTCCTAGGGATGAAGTACTAGAAGCTGAAGAGGGTCCTGGGGATGAAGTACTAGAAGCTGAAGAGGGTCCTGGGGATGAAGTACTAGGAGCTGAAGAGGGTTTCGTGGGATGAAGTACTAGGAGCTGAAGAGGGTCCTGGGGATGAAGTACTAGGAGCTGAAGAGGATCCTGGGATGAAGTAGTAGGAGCTGAAGAGGGTTTCGTGGGATGAAGTAGTAGGAGCTGAAGAGGGTCCTGGGGATGAAGAACTAGGAGCTGAAGAAGGTCCTAGGGATGAACTACTAGGAGCTGAAGAGGGTCCTGGGGATGAAGTACTAGGAGCTGAAGAGGATCCTGGGATGAAGTACAAGGAGCTGAAGAGGGTTTCGTGGGATGAAGTACTAGGAGCTGAAGAGGGTTTCGTGGGATGAAGTACTAGGAGCTACAGAAGGTCCTAGGAATGAAGTACTAGAAGCTGAAGAGGGTCCTGGGGATGAAGTACTAGGAGCTGAAGAGGGTTTCGTGGGATGAAGTACTAGGAGCTGAAGAGGGTTTCGTGGGATGAAGTACTAG